AAGGGACAGTGAAGTGAGAGCCGGCCCGGCACAGCCTGCCTGCGTCCCACGTTCTGCACAGCCTGGGGCTCTGGAATCCAGCCTGCTTCCAGGCTGTGCTGCAACAGCGCCCCCTAGCCACAGAACTCAAGAGCTTCACCAGCCTCTGCATGCTAAGCTGGCAACCCCACTTTACAGATAGGGAAACTGAGGCACTGAGAGGGGAAGTGACTCGTCCAAGCCCATGCAGCAGCTACGTGGCAGAGTCACACCGAGAACCCAAAAGCTCTGATGCCGTCCCTGGCTCTAAGCAGCGCCTACCCCCGTTCCCCTGTGAAAATCCCAGGGAAAATTACACTACGCTCAGCTTTATCCCCCACTTCCCTTCCCCAAACAGGCACAGAGACCCCTCTGCAATTGCTGCTTCCCTCATTCACCTCCCATCCCTCTCGCCCCCGGGCTCAACCTCCATCCCGCTCCCCACCTGCCCCAGTACCACTCGCCCATTCAAATCAACCCCGATGGAATCTGCAGGGCGGGTCGAGGAGGTACCTGTTCGTCCGGCTCCATGTGCCCACCTGCAAGGGGAGAGAATCGGGAGGGGTCAGTGGCACAGTGAGCAGGTCCAGTGCCCCCTGGAAGCAATGGAGATGCTCCCAGCGGCTGTTGCTTCTGGACCACAGTGGTCTCACAGCCCATGGTGGATTGGAGGGGGAGGGCAGGGACTGTCTTTGTTCCGGGGTCTGTACAGCACCTTGCACCATGGGAACCTGGTCCATGACTGGCCTCCTGGCCGGCACGGATAACACACAACCATAGCAGAAGAAACACTCCAGCCACGGCAGAGGTCCCCAGCAGCGGCCAATCTCCCGGCGGCAGCGTTTTCTCCCCGTACCAGGCTGGTTTAACAAAGCATTGGGCAGTTTCATTTTCTTCCAGCTCCCTGTTGGTTAATTCTCTGCACAGCCCTAGCGCCTGTCACCGCAGGATCTCGACGAGGCTAGTGAGTTACACCCCGGTGCAGTAGGTAAGGACCGCGGGAAGGGGAGGGAGGCCAAGAGAGGGAAATTGACTTGGCAAAGGTCACATGACAAAGTCAGAGAATGGAACCCGGGAGTCCTGCCTCCCAATCACCCTCTTTAACCACTAGCCCACGCTCCTTTCCTCGACCTGGGAATACGACTTCAGAGGCTCAGTTCCCAGTCTCCGACTCTTCCCTCTAAACAACCCTCTTCCCCTTCCAATGACCTCCCCCCTCCCCAATTGGGCCAGGCAGACAATGGACAGGAAACCCCAGCGAGATGCATCACCAGGTCCCCACTGCAGTGCCCATTTCTAAGCCAGCCTCGTCCGCGTCCGCTCACCGGGGGGCACCCAGATGTTGGGGAAGATGCTGAGATTCTTGGCCCTTCGCGTGAGCAAGACTCTCCTGTCGATGGACTGCAGGATGACGGCCACCCCCACGTCCACCCCGCGGCCTCGGAGCGCCTCTGGCAGCGCGGCAGCCTGCCTCTCCTCCAGGTGCTTGATGGGACAAAAGGACGGTCTCTGTGGAAGGAAAAGGAGAGAGTGTTTGGTAACAGTCACACCAGGCCTCAGCCGGAGTCACGGCAAGAGACCACAGCTTCCCGGCTCAGGCCCGTCGGACCTTTCATCCCAAAACGCTTCACCAAGTTTCTACGCGCAGCAGCTGTGACATGCAGCCACCTCTGGGGCTTAACACAGCAGAGGGGTCATTTGGGGCCCACTCTTCTCACTATGCAAAGAGCGTGAGGAGCAGACCGGATCCGCGGCTGACGCAGGCAGTCGCTAGACACGCCGCAGCCAATATCGCCTACCCAGTCGTGTTCCACATGGAGCCGCGGAGCTCAGAACCAGCTTGACTTCCCTTGGCCAGGACCCTGGGCTAAGCCCCTTCCTCCTCCCAGACAACGCCATGGGCTCTTGTCCGTTAGTAAGTTACACGGCACTGACCAGCCGGGGAGCGCGGAGGATTTTACAGATATTACCCGACTGTTCTCAGCTTGCAGGTGGGGAAACCGAGGCACAAATGCTTGCCCAAGGCCATGCAGCAAGTCAGTGACAGAGCCGGAAATAGAACCCAGGAGTCCTGACGGCCGGCGTTCAGCTCTAACTCCTAGAACACACTACCTCCCCGAGAGGAGTGGGGGACCCAGGCGTCCTGACGCCCAATCCCCTGCTCTAGCCACTCAAGCTCACTCCCCTCAAGCCCGTTGGTTTAGATACAAGTGCCTCCCCCCCGCTGCAGACGTCCCCCGCAACGTCCTGACCTTTAGAAGGATCCGAGTGGAGCCAGGGAACTCGCTGTCGGAAATGACAAACTGGTTTTGGTCCAAGCCGCAGCTGACCATCGCCTCGTCCTCGTGGGACGCACAGAAGTGCCCGGTGATGCTCTGCGAGAGAGAGAGAGAGCGGGGAAATCACAGGCCCCGTCTTCTCGCCACGCTCCGTGGGGGGCTCCCAGCCCTTTATACACATTCCCCGTGGGCAACAGAGCCTAGCAGCTCGGGCAGGATCCTCCCCGCTCCGGAGGGGAGACGGGACTCAGCCATCTCAGGGGCCAGGTGGAGACTAGAGGCCAGGAGTCGGAGAGACCGATCCCCTGCTCTAGCCACTAGATCGCGTCCTCACCCAGAGCTGAGGCTAGAGCCCAGGAGTACTGACGGCCCATCCACTAGACTCGGCCCAGGAAACAGACCGGGCCGTCCCCCTCGGAGCACAGCGCCCACGGCCCGAACACCTGCTCGGCGCCTCCCTCGGCTTCGGCCTGCCCCTGCAGGGACGAGAGGTTAACGGGGCTCGGGAGCGAGAGGCGGCTGCCGGAGAAGGCCACAGGCCTCCATCCTCATGGAGGATGGAGCGCAAAGGGGTCGCTGGATCCAGATTAGTGGGTAGAGCAGGGGCCTGGGAGCCAGGACTCCTGGGTTCTATTTCTGGCTCTGTCACTAACCCAAACCACCCCCTTGCACACCCAGCCCTCCCACTAAGGCCCCCCCACCTCCTGCACACCCAGCCCATCCCCTTGCACACCCACCCCTGCACACCCAGCCCATCCCATCCCCACGCACCCCTGCACACCAAGCCCTGCCCCCAGCCCCCTCTGCACACTCAGCCCATCCCCC